TTACATAGAAACTATAATGCTACCATATAATGAATGTCAAGACTTTTTGCAGGCCATATATTTCAGCTCCATTGTAATATGAATAATTTGGCTACGTAACAGCATTGTTCAAATGACATTTGTGTCACTTATTGTGGAAAGGAGTAGACATTTTTAAATTGTGACTGTTATAGCAGTACATACCAAGGTGAAAAATATCTGAATATTTAATTAGCACTACCCCCTCCAAGCTGTGATGATGTCTTCTTTGGGAGCTGTGGGGGAGGAAACACATAAAAATAGCATAGCCTATCCATTCCTCCCATTAGCATGGCCCTTAGCAGCATGCGAAAAGAACAAATTCAGTTAGGAATAATAGTGTGAAGGATTGTGTTAAATATTTCCTCAACAATCAGTTCTCCATTCCTTTTCCTCATATTGTCTTTTTATGTGATTTTTATGCTTTTATCTATAAAGCATCCAGAATCTCACTGAGAGTGAGCTAAGCGGTATCTCAATTTGATGAATAAATAAAGTGATTAAAGTTCAAGACAAAATAAAGACCAAGAAACAGATTTTTAGAAAGCTGTTTATTATTATTATTATTATTATTATTATTATTATTATTATTATTATTATTATTATTATTATTATTATTTTGGTCAACCTTTACCATTATCTTAGAAAAAATACACAATCGTCTTAACTGAAAATTTGATTAATCTGGAATAGTGTGGAATATATTTAGCTATACTTCCTTTTAACATTTCTCACCAGAGAACAATTTGTAATTAAATGGCATAGCATTGTTTCAGCTCCTGACACTATTTCTTTCTTTTTTTTCGTTGAGCCCATCTTTTCAGGTTGAAAGCATAGAAAGTTATTTTCTGGTAGTGTGATTAGATTGGGGTTGAACTCTCCAGCTGGCAGGCCTGTCTATGACTGGCGGCGGACTGTCCCCAGTGCTTGTCATTTCCTGACATGCCTGACAGGATGGGGACAGCAGCCCCAGACAGGTTCATTAGATGGTGTTTTCTACAGCTGGGCTTAAAATAAAATAAATAAATAAAAAGCTGCTGGGGCCTTTCTTGTTGGTTTAAACCTAGTTCTTGTTTTGACAAATTTTGATCTGTGCAGTTTTTAGAATTTGTGACACATTTTTGTTTCCTTCGCCTTTGGCCTGCACTTTGTGCTGTTTGCCTTGTTGCTGTTTCAAAAACCTAACATAGCTTCCCCCATGAGAGGCATGGAACATGCTTATCAGAGCCATAAAGAAAAAAAGAGCCATACAGTAAACTAGGAATAACTGTTCATTTCCATGGTGATCAGCATAATGACAAGGGAAGGAAAACCTTGAGTTCTCAATAAGCTGTTTTTTAAAAAAAAGTTGGTTTTTTTAATGATCCATTCATCAAAAAATATGGTATGATTACCAGAACACTGCGCTGACAAGTATCTTCCTTTATGATGTTGCCAAAAGTTTAAACTGACTACATTATGATATTTTACTTTTTTGAAAAGAGACAGAATTTTTTTTTATTGTAAGGTTTGAGACAGAACAAAATTAGTCAAAAGTATGCGCTTACTATTCAGAAATGATCATTTATATGGCATAGTTTGTCTATAATTTTTTAATAAGATGTATTAGCCTGCTGTGTTCCATTGATTATTATTGCATGTCGTCAGCATTGTCATTTGAATAAAATAATTGAACTGAGTTTAAGGAATAGGCTAATCTCAAATATCACAAAATAAGCTACTGTAAAAGCTTCTTAATTCTCATGCATAGATTATTAATAAAATTATTAAAATTGTCTTGGTATTGTTGTATTGCAATTTCTGTGCAAGTCTACAAAGACATTTCCATTTTATGCATTCATATCCATGCAAATTTTATCTCTATTTGTTAAATAATAACCCCTATTGAAATGCTAGATCCAGTAATTATAGAAATCATATTAAGCTAGTAATTAAAAAATAATTATTGACTTTTTAATTTACTGGGGGCTGATATATTCTAGCCTTTATACTTGCTTTAGCACTGATCCATAAAGAGAGTTTATTAATTCTGAATATTTTACATAGTGTAAAAATGGTCATATGCAAAACACTTGTCAGGTATTGGTGTCTATCAAGAAACAAATGAAATTCCTTGCTGGAATCATTTCCTTTGCTTGTTTCCACCAAGCAGCTTGGCATATTACACCCTTTTATGGTGGCTGGGTTTAATGGCTCGCATCTATCTAGTGCAGCTGAAAACCAAGCCCTCCATTCATAGAAATCTAAGCACTTACCTTTCCTTTGTATTGTTAGTTACTGCTGCTTTAGTTTGTGGTCTCTATGACAACTGTTTAAATTGGGATGGCCAACTGTCATCTGGAGTATTACGGAAAGAAAAGTGTTAGTGAGCCCTTAGTCCCACAGATAGAGCATTTCAATATAATCCAATTTTAATTGAGCTCCAGAGACTTTGATGTGCTGCAGTTGGGAGAGAGCTATTCCAGGGAGAAATTAAAGCAGCGCAGCAAGGCTTCACTTCTCCAGACTGTCACCATTTTAAAGAAGCATTAGCATCAAACTTAACCTTCCCCTATGGAACATCTCTTTCAGCCTTTCTTGTTTTTTTTTTTACTGGGCCATATGTTACAAAGGCAAAGGTACTTTCATCTTTCTATATACATTTTTACACCCTCTTGATTAGATTTGAAAGGCATGTACTGGACTTGGGATGCATCAGGGGCTGTCTCTTGGACCTTGCTTTGCAATTCATAGAAAGAAATAAAAAGCAGGAAAGGGATTAGTTTACAATTGTCATCTGGCATGTGTTGGATTTTTTCTCTGAAAGAGTGCTGCAAAAGCAATCCAGCTGGATGTTAGAAAGTTAAAGATTAGATATCAGGATTATTTTTAGCTAGGTTTTAGCATTTCTCATGAGTGTGAATCCTACTTTATTTGAAGATGTGTACATCAGATAAGAAACCCCTCTTTATCCATTTCCACAAAATACTCTTATTTGTCAATAGCAGAGAATACTCACAAGGGAATGAAAATCAGCAGTGAAACTGATATTGACTAATAAGTTGACAGAAGGGAAGGAACACTTTTTAACTGATCACAAGTACCAAATAATCTCTAGTTTTATTTCATTGATGACTGCTCAATGATTTCAGTAATTTCATAAACTTACAGACTTAAGCATGCACATTTAATTAAATCAAAAAGCTATTTCTTTATTTGGGGGCCTTAACTTTCAAAGTTGCTACTAATACATAAAATATAGACATCAAAAGAGAGCACACACTTGTCAGAAATAAATGAATAAAACAATGGTTAGGACTGGTGCTTCCTCTTTATCAGAGATGAGGTACTTATCTTAAGTGGCACTATCAGTCTTAAAGCATACAGTTTAAGAATATATTTATTCAGGTATGGGTTTCTATCAGTTCTGTCCACCTCTGTAGAACCGGTTCTATGTCTGCTGATGTTTTTGCCCACCCGCCTACCTGGGCTCTTACCTGACCTTTTTTTCCTGATTTTTTCAACTGCAGCTGCTGTGTGAGGCACAGCTGCAATTAAAAAAGCAGGAAAAAAGGGCTTTTTGAAAGGCTGCTTCTCTGCACGCAGCAACCTGATCACGATTTACAGGCATGCTCCGGCAGCATGCAGGGAAGCACATCGTAAATAACCGAACTGGTAGTTAACCCTGTTGGATCCCACTCCTGTATTTATTCATATGTGCAGATCATCTGAACCCTTAAAAGACTTAGAGTGGCTAATAGTGATAATATTTTATTTTGTTATTTGATGATAATAGAGGTTCCAACAGGATCTGCAATCAAAAGTTGCAGGAGTAGTCCTGTGCTATGTTCTGGTTAGCCAGTCTAGTTTTCTTAAGGATATACTTTTTATTCTCCTCCTCATTAGTTGTTTACTTACTAATTTCTATAGAATTAAGTATCATTACATTCTGCTTAAATGCTATTAATAATATATTACCAATGATCAAGCTTTGCAAAACCAGCAGGTCATTCTGCGGCTGAGATTGATGTCTGGCAGATACCATCCAAACACAGTCCAAACAGTGATTAAATGTAATTTTTCCTCTCTTACCTGCTTCTGGCAGGTAGTATGCAGAAACCAAATGTTGGGCTTTGAAATGATTAAAAGAACTGTTACAGGGAAGGATTGGAGACATAGATCTCCAAGGGCGACATCTTTAACAGCTATGCCCTACTATCTCCATACAAGCACCTGGACATATTATAATGTCTTTGTACTGGCTTAGTTCAATGCAATTGGCCATTTGCATTATTGTTGGGCAGATTGACATGTTCACTGGGGAAAAAAATCATTTGCCATTGTGAATTAAGAAACAGTTACATATGGTTCTCTTTTGAACTTTTTGTATAAATAGGTATGCAATATTGACTATGCTTATTTTAAGTTACCCAAGCAGATGTTTTCATTTGAATCTCACTGTTTGCAAGAACTAAAGTATTTTCTGCAATGTAATTAGTTTTTATTTTACCATCTATTTAACAAATAGTGTGATCAAAGATGAGTTAATGCTCAAGCAAAGTTGATGGAGAAACAGGTTTTTAAAGTAAAATAGTATTTGGATGCTGCATCTATGTAGCTGAGAAACTTTATGAATACTTACTAGTCCTTGTTGCTAGTCTTTTTGACATAGTATAATTGTTTGCCCACTTAGTAGAGACTTAAGTGAAGGTGATAAAAGTTATGATGACGCAACTAACCTTTCTCTACTGTACCTATCCCTGGGTTAATTGTTTTGCTAATATCCATATAATAGTTGTAATAATACCAATTACAGAAAAGCACAGTTGAGAGACTGAAGGAAGGATTAGAAAGAATCATAAGGAAATATAAAGGAAATAGAGAATTTAGATTATCATAGTGAAACCTGGTTGTCACATAATGCCATTTCCTTAGAAAAATAAAATATTTGTATTACAAGATCACAAAATCAGCAATCAATATATATTCATTTTATTGTAAAGGTCCTTGCTTATACAGAAGGCCTTCATGGAAAATGGATGTTCAGTGAAATTCGAGCGGTTTTCTCAAGACGTTACCTTCTTCAGAATACGGCCTTGGAAGTATTCATGGCAAACAGAAGTATGTTTGTTTTATATCTTTAATATAAAGCAAGATTTTTTTAAATTAAACAAATAGTACCTATTGAAACTGAAAATGTGCTTCTAGTTTAGGTATTACTATTTTAGGATATTCACATTTCCTATGTAGAAGTAATTTGTGGAGGGTCTTTAAGAATAATTACTACTGACTTTTGAGTAGGAGTAGATATTCAAGGCCTAGCAAAGGTGCAGTAAAGAGAACTATCAAGTGAAGTGCTGTGGGATGGATTATCCATATAGTAGCTTTACACCTCACTTAAAAATTATATATTTTAGACAAAAACACAATAAGGAGGAATTGGAGAAAAATCTAATTTTTTTCTCTTATTTAAGGAAAGCTTTCTTCAACCTTCCATAGATTTTCCTTGTGTTTTTTTTCCTTTATCTACAGATAAAACTTAGATGTTGAGAAAAGAAGGGTTATAAATATATTAGCAGAGGTTGAGAGGAATAAATATTTTCCACTCCAAAATTAGATCTTGGAAAGAAAATGCCAGTTCTCAAATATGACTGAAATCAATGGCATTGCCATTGTATGAAGCAAATTCATTTAGCCTAGAGTACTTTGACCCTAAAACTGCATTGAAGCAACCCTATATCAGAAGGACTTGGGTTTTTTTTTTCATTGAATAGTTCCATTGTTAATAGGTAACATGAATAGCATGACTTTTGTTTGCATCAGATTCCTAGAGAACTTTTAAGATAACTCTATATGTCTTTATTCACAAAATATGAAAATCTCTTGCATCTTAATTAGAACAAAAATGTAATTGGATTATATCTCAAATTATATTGTTAGCTTTTTTGTTTGCGTTTAATGACATATTTGATCACATATAAAACCTTTTTTATATCAGCAATTCTTTAACCCTTCAATTCTCTTTATACTGCAGCTTCTGTAATGTTTAATTTTCCTGATCAAGCAACAGTGAAAAAAGTTGTATACAGCTTACCTCGTGTTGGAGTGGGAACCAGCTATGGCTTACCACAAGCAAGGTATTCAGTATTTGATTTTCTGTTTGGAAATACACGAGTAGTACAATGTGATAACAGTACATAAAAGTGCAATTAAGTCTTATGTATATTATCTTTATATTAGTTTAAAATGATTTAATTTCACCCTCAGATAGCTTCCTTTTTCCAACTTTTTCACTGTGAGTATTAAGTAGGAATGTTTATTTGTTTATAGTTATTTACAGATACCCTAAAAGACTCAGCAATTTATAATCTAATTAAATTGAGGAATGCTGGGGGGGGAAGGATTATGATTTTTAGGATCTTAACATCTCTCATAATGCTCCTCCAGCCTATTTCCAATATCACTGTTTTGGACTTTTTGAAAATGAGATTTCCTGGCCTCAGAAAGATTCTGCCAAGAAATTGGTAGAGAGGCAGAAGAGAATCCCTCATTAGACATTATTTTTCCCTGGAACAGGGCCGTATTCGTATTTGGTCTCCTTTTTTAGTTTATTTAGAACATTCCTAAGCAAAGATCAATAATAAAGTTGGGTTCCTTCTACAGCAGTTATATGAATCATACATTAACAGATACAGAATGAATTATATAAATAATTATATAATAATTTTCCTGCCAGAAAAAATGTTTTAGTGATCGAATCTACTGGAAGATTCTCTGAAGGCCGTGCTTCATAAGATATGATTTTGTCTCATTAGTGTTTTCATGTTTTTCTCCAAACCCATTAGTGCTTTTCTTATCATGATGTTATTTAGTTGGGTAATGAAATGCTTGCAAACAAGCAAATTCAGACAGCATCAATGACTCCACAGTTAAACCCAGAGATGCATATATTCTCTTTTCACTTTTTAATTAATAAAGATATTGTTCCATGCATACCTTTAAGTTAGTATATTCAAAAAATAGTCCTGATCAAAGCTGGGCAGATTTGGAAAAATACCACAGTGGTGTGTCCTTCTAATATTACCTGAACATAAATACATCATTTATTTGATTCTGACATCATAATATTTCTATGAATCTATTGAGTTACTCCCTTAAAGAACAGCAAGTTATACCTAGAAAAAAGTAGGTTAATCTATTACTAGGTTATGAACAAAACAACCCTGCTTATAATTAAATATTTTTGTGATATAGTTCTTTTGAATGAAATGTAATAATTTCTTTTTAAAAATAAATATAATTTGGATTCCACTGATAATGATAGCTTGGTGTGCAAAAGTTGATGAAGTTTTTAAAAAACATTCTAATAGTTTATACAAAAAAGTGGAAGCCAAATAAGCAGTTATAAATGGACACATCAAAAAAGTAGGGAGTTTTATTTATTTATTCAATTTATTCATATTTGCCTCTGTTAAGCTCTCAGGGACAGGGTAGCACAAATATATTCAACACAAATGCAATCTCCTCTAAAGCTTTAGTCTGTCAAATTATTAAATTAAATCAAAATGTCCAATTAAAAAGATAAGTCAACTTAGAGGTAGCAGTTTATGTCCTTTTACTCCCCCCCCCCCCGCCCTCCCCAAAGAGAAGTCTGGAATACCAGCTTTGGCTGAAGTAGTATAGGCAGCCCTCTTTTTTTTGGACAGCTCCCTTTTTTTCCACCTGGTATTATTCTTTGATGGAACATCTCAGTTCCCTGCTAGGGATGTAAGCAATGTCACAACTAGGCCTCTTTGAAGTCCAGAAGCAGTTTCTTTTGACATTCAGTTTGCTGTCTCCCTTCTCTTTTCCTTTTCTCCTTCCTCAAAAGCTCTATTCCCTCACACAACTTTAAGATCTTCAAACATTGAATCTCCAAATACTCATAATCTGATGATGAGGCTAACTGTCAAAGAGGTATTTTTTTCCCCATTCAAAGAAAACATTAGCAATGCAGTTGTTTCATGAACAACGGTGTTTTTATTTATTCCCTATGCTCTTTAACAATTATATTGTATGCTTACTGTGGAACTTATTTCTAGATTTGGGCTGAACTGTCTTCAGTGTTCAGGTGATATCTAGCATTATTTCTCATTTTATCTTAAATTTAATTTAAAATTGGAGGAGGGTAATAATTTCATTGAGGGTCAATCAATTGAAGCTCAATCCTGAAAAGAAAGAGATGGTGTCCACTGAATAGTTCTTAACCTGTTCTTGAGGATCTTTGGGAATGTTCTTGAATCCATCACTGTGACTGATTGCACATCTGGCCTAGTGGGTAGTATCACATTACATCAACTCAGGCAGATATACCACCTGAAATTCTGTTTGTGCAGAGTTAACTTTGAGACATTCTGGGTTAAGATTCAGCTACAAATCTCTATCCGTAGCTATTAGGCTCAAATTTGGCAAAAGTCTTTCAGACACTGAAGCTATATTCAAGTTGTATGTGCTCTATTATATGAGGATGCAATTCCTTCCTGAATTCACAATAGTTAAATTCCACATTTCAAACAATCACACCCCCCCCCCAGGTTGATAACAAAAAGGTTGACCAATTGTTGATTGTTGGCATAATTATCATCTTTGCCTTAGAAGCCTTGGTTTTCAGCTTGTTTCTCATCCAAATCTGATTTCAATTATCTATTCTACACTATAGTAACCAATTCAATTGCATTTCTACAATGGATTATGTGTAAGGCTATTTCTGAATTGCTAGTTTACCTGACTGACTATAATTCTTTATCAGTGCCTTTCCTATGAAAGCTCCCATTGTGTTAATAGTTGCAGGCAAATATATTTCCCATGTCCAATGCATTTCATATAATGTAATATTTTAGATCGTTACTGCATCACCTCAAGATTAACGTTTTTTCTCTTCTTTTGATGTACATTCTATGTATATATATTTTATGAAAATACTTCCATAAATTTTTGAAGTTTTAAAGTGCATACTATCTAAATATACTTTCAGTGGCATTGTAACAAATTTAAAAGAAATTTAAATGTAAAATATAAACTTATCCAGTTATAGAATATCAGTTGTTAACAGTTAGTTCACTAATACATTAATAATCAATGTATAAGTGGTATAAAATTCTTACATTTTCTGTAATACAGGAGGAACTAGATATAGAATTAATTGGCAAATGGTTCTAAACAAATTAGTCAATATATTGGTTGAGAAATACTGCTTTGCAATAAATCCATATATAAATAGAGACATTTCACATTAAAATAAATGTGAATTGAAAAACATTTTCTCATGCATGGTTTTGCCTCCATTACTAAAAAACAAGCCAACCCCTGTGCCATGGGAATAGCATACAATATATGAAAGTCAAGAGTAGGTATTGAGGATGTATGAATAAAACTGCATTTTTTTTGTCACATCTTCCCATAACAAGGTGCTTTTGGAGTTCTACATAGCATGAGACTAGACTATATACAGGACCACCTCTCCCTGAGATTATTTATCTATCCCACTAGATCCAAACACAGTCCAGTTCTCTTCCCTAAAATGCTGCCATCCAATGGGATCCAAGAACCATGCCTTTTCTATGGCTGCCCCTTCTTGTGGAATATGCTTCCCCTGATATTCTAGCTTTTTAGGCTTTTGGAAGGCCATCAAAACCCAGATGTCTGGCCATGCTTTAGGGTAGAGTGATGTAAGACTGTGGATTACTGTTGGGATACCTTAAGAGGATGACCTAGGTACCTGGTTCTTAATTTTTTTTGGTATTACAGTATTTATGTTATGTATTATTAATTGAGTCACCTAAAGTTGTTCTCTATGATAGGAAGCCATAAAAAATCTTTTAAATGAATAAAATATACCTGTTGTGAATTGTTACTTGTAGCATAGTGTGTCTAAAAGGGATTAGGCACTTATGAAAATCACAGAACAATAGTTATTGTTTAACATTTCCCTTATTTGCGCATTTTAGTATTTCCTAGCAAATTATTCATGCCAGCTATGCATGCTGATGAATGAAAAATCCATCTTCTAACAAATTAAGAGACTTTTTAACTCTTTATTTTGTTTTAGTTGTCCAGATAATTAAAAATAATATGATGTAAAATGAATAAGAAAATCATTCTCAATGTCAGTCATCTTTTTCAAGATGTAATGTCTGATAGATACTTTACAAATCTTTATAATATTCTACTAACCTTTCTGTAGAAATCGAGAGAGAAAAGTGTCATATTAACATTCCTTATTCAAACTTCATTGTCCTTATTTGGAGTTATCCTAAAAAAGCTTAACAACGATTAGTCACTGTTATTATCCATATAACCTTTGGATATAGAATAATGCTTTGATTAAGCTCAAGTAAAAAAGTTAAAAGGTGAAGGAACTAAGAAGGATAGAAAGCAAAAAACAGATGGATGGCTGAATACAAAAATTATAAGTTATTGAAAAGTTGAAGAAGAAATAAGAGATACAAAAGCTAAAATAATAAAAATTAGGAACAGAGAAGGTGTTATTTAAAACAGGAGAGGTTAATTTATAGTATTGTCTCTGGAGAATAATACATGTGTTTATTTATTCATTATTTATTTAGCTTAATTTAAGCTCTTGACCAATTCTGTGTGGCTTATAATCCAACTGTACCTACATAGGATTAAAATAATAAAAATGCAATATAAATAAATAAGTAACCTTAACATTAATAATTTAATAATGAAATATTGTGTGTCAAGGAACCATAAACATGTATTTAATCAGTATGCTTACACAGAGGGAATTTGTCTCTACTTAACATTGGATCTAAAAGAAATCAAGTTTTTATAAATTTTTCAAATTTCAGAAACGTTGTGCCAAGTTGAAGTTCTATGTCAGTACTAGGTCAGGGGTGTCAAACTCAATTTCATTGAAGGCCGCATCAGGATTGTATTTTACCTCGGAGGGCCAGAGTGGGTGTGGTCAGCTCGACATCACTCGTGTCAGGGGTGCCTGTGGTGGCCCAAGCCCTCTGCCAGAGAAAACAGGCTCCTGAGCTCTGTTTTTGGCTGCAACGGCCTCCTGTAAGTAACCCTCTGCCAATGAAAACAGAGCTCAAGAGGGCTGTGTGCAGCCCACCCGAGTTCTGTTTTTTCTGGCAGAGGCACCGCAGGCCAGTCTTTCGCCGTTTCCAGGGTGGCCCTGCGGGCCAGATCTAATCACCCTGTGGGCCGGATCTAATCACCACCGGGCCTTGAGTTTGACACCCCTGTTCTAGGTGGTTGTGTTATCCAGGAAAAGAGAATAGCAGTCAAGAAGGTCTACTTCCATGAACAGATTAAGAGACCCCCCCCCCAAAAAAAGTCCATGCTTCATCAAGGGCAGAAACTATTGTAAGCAAATGGTTCTGTAGAATCTACAATGTAGCTAGCCAAAGAGCTTTAAAGAGCTTTTAAAATGACCTTGAATGGCACCCAAAAGCTGAGAGAGCAGGTCTTGAAGTAAATACGTTACATGGGTAAACTAGGACAATATCCATAACTACTAAAGTTGCTGCATTCTGGACAGCTGTAACTTCCCAGTAGGCAGATCTATGTATAGCTCATTGCAAGTCCAAATAGGAAGCGACACTATCATTTGCAGGGTTGTCCTACTGCTGCCTATCCAGTTTCACCTCATTTCATATGCATAATCATGTACAATATTATTTAATTATACTGACTTTTATTTCTGATTTTCATGATTTATTCTGTCAAAATCATGAAAATCTATATTGTAAAATGGGTAAAGTGTTTAAATATTCTGCTTCAGTAAGTGGAAGATCTGAACTGACCACTATTCATATGACTAGACCATTTCTATGAGCATTAATATGATAGCCAAAGTCAGAACATTATAGTATCCAACCTTCATATCCTTGGATAGCAATGAAGATGACAAGGAAAGATAGGTTAAGCTTATTATCAAATCAGTTTTGATTTTTCTTGATTGCAATCTCAGAACAAAATTCAGTACAACTTTGTTCATGAATTAAAAGGTTTTAAATGTATTACCCTGTAGTGGGTAGATAATATGTTATTTAATTTCATAAATGTGATTTTTATATTTATAGCTATGTTCTTAACTTTGCATGCCTATGTTCTTAATTTTAATTGACTTTGATAATTTGTTCGTAATAATGTTTCTTTCCATAAAAATGTTACTTTTCAACAAAGGATAGTTTATTTTGAGATTGAAAACACAAATAATTGTTAGTAGAGAAGCGAATCTACCACTTTTAATTATAATTTCTAGACGAATTTCTCTGGCTACTCCTCGTCAACTCTATAAATCTTCCAATATGACTCAGCGGTGGCAGAGAAGGGAGATTTCAAATTTTGAATACCTGATGTTTCTCAATACTATAGCTGGTGAGTCTTCTGTTTCTTTATTCTTTATAACATGATTCAATTTGTCAAAGTTTTTAGTACTATGAATGGATGGAGTACAATATTCCTCTGTGATGTAAATACAGCTTTATGATTCGTTCTGAAAAAGTATATAATATTTTGTATTGGGGGAAAATAATTTGTCACTCTATATTTGGTTTTCATGCTGGTAGTTTTTTTTTCTTTCTTTCTACCATTTACTATACTGACAGCATGGTCTGAAGCTTTGTTAGAGTCAGCAAACCATTGTTAATGTAAGACTAGAACTAATTATGGAAAAAACATATTTTGCTGTGTTGCAATTCTTAGCAGTAACAGCAAGATAGTAAAATAACAGTATTCTGCTTAGTTCAGATGGCACTTCAGTGGTGTTATCATTAAATTACAGCATATCTTAAGTACTACGGACTATGTGTGATCAGAATTAGCCTAAAGTTAAAAATTAAAAACCGTAAATCAGTCATGATGAGAAAGAAAGGGAGGGAGAAAGAAACCCCTTCTCATCCTTCCTAATTCATACAACCTCCCAAGTGCCACCTCTGATCTGCATGGCACCCTTTCCTCATACCCAGGCACCTTTCACAACCAATGCCACCCCTCCACATACGACCCTGACCTACAGGGCATTTCTCACATACCCCTGTGATTCCAGCCTTCTTAACATGCCCCCCCCCCCCAAAAAAAAACAACCAACCCCTAAATCTTTATATCGAAGAGTAGTAAGTTAGGGAAAATCTACTTCAAGTTTGCTGAAGAAATTATTGATGAATACTTTTTCATTGCAAAATAACTTCTAATAAATAGACAATATGGAGTAGAAATAATGAATGTATATATACTGTAAAATATTAATTATGAAACTATTTTATATTTATGTTGTTTAATAATGTTATGAGTTCTTCCACAGTGATTGTGTTTCTCATACTTTTTTCATTTTTAGAATAAATAGAATTTCTTGCTGAAATGTCATATTCAAAATCTCTGAAACTATTTTAAAATATTTTTCCTTTTTGCAACTATTCCTCAGATGTTATTTTATCTGTGCTTTTTAATAAGGCACAAATCAAAATGTTTCAATGTTCTATTATATAATAAAATTATAATTATTAATCTAAGAAGGTTTGCTAATGTAAAATTCTCTTCATTTGCAAAACTAGATGTGAAACGTAGAGCCCTGTTACACTGCTGAATCTCATTTTGACAAACAATTGCATTTTCATTGAATTCTGTTTCTAAAGTTTTTGCTTCTTTCCTATCCTCCTTGTCACTGAACATATTTCATCATGTTTACAATTCTGTGTGTTTTTTTCCCAAAGGTAAACATAGCACTCTGTTACGTATCAATCATGCTAAGTTTTATACTCTCTCTGCCTGGTTTTTGTCTTTATTTTGTAGACTTAAGACTTCCTGACTGGATTATATTATACTACGTTTAGTTCCCAGAGACTCTTTGATTTATGTAGCGCAGAAGGAAAGATCACTATTTTATTTTTCTCACTGAACAGTAAAATATATAGAACAGAAACTCTGCTTTTCAAACAATAAGCATTCACAACTTATTATTTTTCTGAACTTAGGAACAATAAAGAAGAGCATAATATTTGAAGTAAATTGTCCTTTACAGTATTGGTAACTGGAATATTTGAATCTATTTGTAATAAGCAGACTTATTATATTACATACCAAAATGCATTTCATGTTAAGCTTAAAATCAATATTCCTAGTATATTATAAACGAAAATACTGAAGACAGAAAAGCAATCTAAACACTTTGTTAGTTATAGTCCGTAGAAAAGATGAACATTATTGCTTAGGTAGAACATATAAGATGAGAAAGCTTTTAATAAACAAAAGAGGCTTATTGTATAAAAAGGATGAGGAATATTCCATCCTTATTTAGTATGGAAAGTATCTTTACATTTTAGTCTAAAACTGACATGTTCAGGTAATGAATTCAGACTCATTTCTCCCCTTGTTCCCGCCTCCCCTCCTTTTTAGCATTTTCAACATTTTTACTCTGTAATGTACAAGCCCTCACTGGTTAATTATGTATATATTTAGGTACTGCATGTGTTGGGCTTATTATTGTCATCTAATTAAATGTAACCTGAACTGCTTGCTTCTAGAAAAACCATTAAAAATTCTTTCCTAATGACCTAGAGATGACAAAATGTCTGTAAAGTGTGAAGAAGCAGACAAGCACAGGAACATCGCTTTTAAAGAGTGTTAATCCAGATGCTGCAATCATCTAATTAAACAATATTTTGCTGTCATTAACATTTTCACCAAGGAATTGCAGTTATAATTTCTTTGTCAGCTGTCTCTATATCACTTTCCTTCAAAACTAAAGTGCCATATAAAAACATTAAATTGGATGGTTTAATTAAAGTTACTTTAATGAAGAAACATTTCTGAAATTTCATTTTTTTTCTCTGTGTCTTAGGTTTTATTGTTCAAGTCATTTAGTGTTATAGGTTTGCAACATTTAATATTCAGGCTTTAATTTTAACTTTGTAAATTTAACTGAAAAATTTGCTTCTTCAGTATAAGTAAATATTGTAAAAGTGTGTATTTCTGTAGTTCATTATGAAACAGAGACAGTAGCAGAAATCTTTGTGCTTAAGTTATCAGGGACAATGTAACAAATAAAATAGGCCTCAGCCTTTTTAGCCTCCTAACTACCATTGTGCTGCTAAGTATAAGTGGAAATGTAAGATTTCTCCTGGGGATAAGTAGGTCCCTTTTATGAGCAGAGGTGTAAATATTCAAACAGGCGCACAAAGGAATGTGAGAAGTAATCTCTGCAAATCACACTGTTCCTTCCAGTGGCAATCACCATTGGTAGTTAAATCAACATGCATTGGGTCAAGCCTTCTAAAATAGTTCTATAATCACCTGCTTTGAACTCTAATTAAAGTTATGAGATGTTCTTAAGTTAGAAAAAGATTATATATATTGATGTCTTCTTAAGAAACTGGGCACTTCATAGATAAAAAGTGTGATCTATCTGTTTTGGAAAAGACAATATTATCCAGTAATCAAAGGCTGCAGAAATATATGCTACCATGGCAGAGATTTTGTGATGTTTTACAATAATATTTTATACTTTATTTATTTATTTATTTATTTATTTATTTATTTATTTATGTGTATTTATTAGTAGATAAGTGACAATCATACAATATAAGATAGATTTTTGCTTGTCTTAGTTTGTATTTTTTTAAAGTTCTTTTTTAAATGTAAAGATTGTTTTGTTAATTGGGTAAATATAACATTTTGTAAATAACATTTTAAAAAATATTTAGGCACTTCATATATGGTATTTCATTGAATACAAAAAGTATAAGTGAGGAAGAGTACAGTTAATGAACCTGTCAGGATAGAATTAATTCATCCTGATAAAGACACATGCCTAGAATTCACATTTCAGCTTTTTGTATATGATCAAGCATAATACGTTGTTAAATGAAAAATAGAATCATAGGTAGATGCCACCATGATTTATATGCTTATTCTGCACATAGGTTATGAACATACAAATTCTTTCATCATTAGTTAAGCTTATCATCGTCTTTTAATGTCTAATCCCAATATACTACTTGTTTAGGCTTTTTATAGCAGAACTCACAAATAATAGATATTTGGGGTTGAATCTGCTACTTTTGAGACAAGGGAGAAAGATTTGAATGCCAACATATATTATGTTGTCGGTAGTTACAATTTGATATGTTGTAGTTATTTAGTTCCATCAGATGAAATACAATATGTTTGATAATGACATAAGGACAATTACATTTTGATTGCTGGTTTGATAAAGTTGTTTAAACAAACATCCATAATTTTTATATTATTTTATCAGGGCGTACTTACAATGATCTCAATCAGTATCCTGTGTTTCCATGGGTACTAACAAATTATGAATCGGAGGAGTTAGATCTAACCTTGCCAGGAAACTTCAGAGATCTATCAAAGGTATGTTTCAGTTGTATGTTTATTGAAATGATGAAGTTTATTTCTATTCTGTGAAAGAAAACATACATCCTAGCAATTTCAATTATACCAGATAATCTGTGATTCATTGAGTCATTGTTTCAGAAATATTTCCTAATCTACAAAGAGAAACAGAATGACCAATGGTAAACAAAAAGAGCAAGAACAACTTGCAACTTCTTGCCTGCTTAACCAACTTACGGTGGGACTGGACTATTCAATTCCAGAGTCCTAAGTATACTGCTCTGTCTGATTTCCAGCAACCAAATCCAGGGCCAGGAAATTTGCCAAATTTCACTCCCACAACAGT